GGGGGGGTCAGGCAACTCATATTTTTTTTTATTTTTTATTTTTTTCCTTTTTGTCTTTTTTCGTGTCTGGCAACGAATCGCAACCCTCAGTGTTGCGCCCGTACCGGACCGGGACCGGCAACGGGATCGCAACCCTCGGTGTTGCCCCCACACCTCGCTCAGCCAGTGAGCGGGAACCGGTCTGTATGTGGGATCCGAACCCTCGGCGGGAGCGCCACCGCACTCCCAAGCGGCGCACTGTAGCAGTGCGCCACCGGGCCGGCCCTACAAGCAACTCATATTTTCATGGTACATATTCTCATACCTTTTGGATGTTTTACTGTGCTCACATATTACTGATATGCCAGTTCTTCCATACAGTCTCACTTGGGGGACCCAGATGCGAGAATGTGCAGCCCCCCCTTTTCCTTTGCTCAGACACCATTCTGCCAGGAGGATGCTCCCCATCATTTTTTTCCAGTTCTGTGATGATCTTCCTTTCCAAGAGTCACACTTCCTACTCTGAGGAAAACAGCCAAGTAGCCGAAGAGTCAGGAGCTCCTGCTGCAGGCCTTACTGATGTATTGACCATGCGTAAATAATGCAGGTTTACTAGCTCCCTGGTAGTTCTTCCTTCTCTGGAGCTCTGACTTGCCCTGAAAGGTGGAGAGGCTAGCACAGACTTTTGGATACATACACTGGTTGGAACTTAATTTGAACAAAGTAATAATTGGGGAAAGAACCAGTTTTCCCTGAGGAACCACATCTCTTAACCTGCATCCTGGTTGACAGTTCATGGATCTAGTGCTCTCTCTTTAGCATTTGTGGCTTTTCAAAATCTGGCCCCAACTAACTCTCCATAACTCTTCTCTCAACAGGCACTTCAGCCACACCAGTCTGCTTATCATTTTTGAATGTACTTTCCCCTCTTTGGTGAATACTGTTCTGGTGCTGTTCATCTGTACAGAACAGTCCTCATTCTAATTCAAAGGTTACACTGGGGAACATTCCTCCTTCCTGCTCCCCTCTCCTCCAGACAGGTGGGTGGCAACCTTCTTCTCCTCCCCCCGCGGGCTTCTGCAGCAATCTGGCCACATTATTGGTCCAGTTGGTTATTTATTCCATTGAATTAAAATGCACTGACCCATATGACCATTTTCTCTAGGAGACCATGTACAACTCAAGGCTGGGGCCATTCATCAGGATGCAGCCTAGTGCCCGGCCAATAGCAGGTGCTCGGCAAGTGCTTGCTCCATCGTCTTTATCATCATCACCGCCCCCCACAAGGTTGTTGTCTGTGTGTTGGGGGTGGGGCAAAAAGGGAAGTGTGGACGGGTGTAGTGGGAGGAAGTTAGGAGTTTCTCGGTCTGAGAATATTACGACACTTTCTTAGTTTGTCAATATGTATGTTGGGGGTAGTTATTTTTTTTACCAGAATGAGTAATACATAAGAAAGCAGCTAATTGCGAAGATAGAGGATTTCTTGGCTCCATGAGAGGGTTTCCTTTTCCTTTTATCGAGGTAGAGGACTTTACCAGAATGAGTAATACATAAGAAAGCAGCTAATTGCGAAGATAGAGGATTTCTTGGCTGCATGAGAGGGTTTCCTTTTCCTTTTATCGAGGTAGAGGATGATTTCCATGGGGGTGTTACCCTTGAAAGGCTTCACAGATGTAGTTTCTGAGTTTTCACGTTAGATTAGGAAAGTGGAGGCGGCAGAGTCTATCAGTGAAAAAGAAGAATCAGTTTCAGGTCTGAGAGACCCCATGGGAGAACCTCTGAGTTTAGGCAGAAGCAAAGGAAGCAGATCAGACAGGAAAGCAAGAACAACAGAGAGAGGAAGGGCTTAAAGATCAGGAGCAACAGAAGTTTCCATCAGTCCATCATGATAACCCATCATACCCCAGAGCTGTTATTTAGCTGGGTGGTCAGATCCCCCAGTGGATGACAGGGCCCCCAACATCATCCCCTCACTGACCACCAGGTCTGAGGCTCCAGATCTGGTGGATGGGCTGTCCCTTTCTTCTTGCTCCACTCACGGGGTGCTTGTGTGCTAGGTTGAAGAGGATCAGGAGAGACCATTCTCTGAGCAATAGTTTATGGTATCTGCTCAGCTCTGTTAGTGCTTTCCTCATAATGTGGGGTTGGGGGTGGGAGTACGTTAGGAGCCTAGAGCCCTGGAATGCAGTTTCAAATTTGACTTAACTCACTGTGTGATTTCTGGGACAAGTCATTTAACCTCTCTGGGCCGCTATTTCCATCTATAAAATGGGAAATTACTGCCCCACCCAAAATAGATGCATTCAACAATAGTGAACATCAGAAACAGGGAAAATATGGTACTCTTTGTATTGACAGTGATAAGACGTTGTGATTTGAATTTTTCTTAGGCTTCAAGACTCTATGACTCTGCTAGTCTACATGGGTGGTGCCTGAGTGTTGTGGGAAGTAAAGGAAAATCTGCTGAACACTGCCGATCCAGCGCAGTTGCTTTCCAGAATCAGGCTGCTGATACAATCATCCTAAGTTTAAAAAAAATTAAAAAATAAAAAATTCCAGAGCCCCACCCTGCAACTATGGATTCTGACTTGCTGCGGTGGGGGCAGGGCCTGAGTGGTTTTGGAACCGCTGACTCAGGTGAGGATTCAAAATAAAGAGAATGGATCTAAAAACCTGAAAAAGCCAGATGCCTGACTTGGTAGTAAATGTTGAGATTTAACACTGAAAAACAAACTGATTCTCTACCACATCTCTTGGCAGAGATGAATACAGCCATTTGGGAAACTGAGGGTCAAGGTCATTTTTATTCTAGCTATACTCATTCAGAGAGGCTCTCACATGTTGTGCACAGTACTTGACAGAATAATTTCCCTCCAGAGTTAGATGACTCATTTGAAAATGAAGCTCTCCCGTTGAGCACTTTTTAAAAAAAGTATCCCCTTTTTTACTCCCTTAATTGCAGAAAGTAGACAAGAGGGTGATTAAATTACCATTAGCAACCCAGGGATCAAGCTGCTAAGAAACCTCAAAAAAAGAGATGCATAAGCACCAGTCCTCTTTGCTGCAGTCAAATGGACCAGAACTTGAAAGAGAAATGAACTTGCTGCTTATTTGACAGCCCTGCCTGGCCATTGGGCTGTGAATCTCACAACGGCTGGGGCATGCTCCATTTTCTAAAACCAGACTTCCTTTTTATTTTGAAGGTGCTGTAGTATAAATCAATACTGCTTCTAGATTTTCACTTTCTGGAATAAACACCAGAAAGGCACTGGGAAAAAGAGAGAGAAAGGCACAGCTCTCTGCGGGTTTAACACCGAGATAACAAATTGGTAGGTAGTTTACAGAAACACCGGGGGTACAGGAACCACTGACACCACAAAGAAGCCAACAAACAAGTTAAGAATGTGGACATTCTGGGGGCCGGCCCAGTGGCGCACTGCTACAGTACGCCGCTTGGGAAGCGCGGCGGCGCTCCCACCGAGGGTTCGGATCCCACATACAGACCGGCCGCTCACTGGCTGAGCGAGGAGCGGGGGCAACACCGAGGGTTGCGATCCCGTTGCCGGTCCTGGTCCGGTACAGGCGCGACACTGAGGGTTGCGATCTGTTGCCGGTCACGAAAAAAGACAAAAAAAAAAGAATGTGGACATTCTGCATAACAATAGTCAGTGATAGGAAAGAAAGGAGAGAGGGGTTTATTTTACATTAAAGGAAACCTGAAAGATATACCTATCAACCAATTATAATGCATGGACCTTGTTTGGATCCTCATTTGAACTAACCAAATGTACATGGCATTCTTGAGACAACTGGGGACATTTGATAAGGATGGGTTAATAACAAAGGCTTATTAATTTTGTTAGATGTGATAAGGTGACAGTACTTAGCATTGTGGTTATGTAAGAAGATGGCCCTATTCCTTCAGGGATGCATATTGAAGTACACAGGGGCACACTGACATATCTGGGTTTTGTGTCACCAAAGGACTTCTATTTCATCAAAGGAAAAACAAAGAAAAAAAAAAGATGAAGCAAATGTGGCAAAATCTTGCTCATTATTAAATCTAGGTGATGGGCTTACGGGGATTCATTGTAACGTTCTCTCCACTTTTGTGTATGTTTAAGATTCTGTCATGATAAATATATTTTTTAAGCATAATGAATATATTTTTTCAGGACGAGAAGCATCAATAAATCAACATAGGTGAGGAGGGTTGAGAGTAGGTGACACAACGTCTTTGAAAAAAAATTAAAAAGTTTGTGCACTCTCAGACTTCAAGGAGCTCTGTGCAGATGGCTCCACACTCACTCAGAACAGGGAAAAGAATACCTTTCATCCTGATGGAGAATTCCCCCAGCAGATTCTCTAGCTCCGCTTCAATGGTGCACATATTCTGGGAAGAAGACAGGAGATGAGCCTTAGAGCCAGCCTGTGTTCACACAACAGCTCAAAACACATGACATTTTAAAAGCAGCAGACAACCATTGCATGAACATCAGGAGGCACTGACCTGTTTGCAATGAATTGCACGGCACTGCCTATGAAACATTTTTGACAAAACGTTTAACCTGAGTCTAAGCAAGCCTTCTAGTGTGCAGGAAATTTAGGGCATAGAAGAACAATTTAAATTACATCAAAAATAGTCAGACAAATCTGGAATGTGGGCAATTCTATAAGGACTGCCTCGGACTCTAAAAAAGGCAGTATCATGGAGAAAAAAATTTCTAGATAAACAGTCTAAAGAGATAACAAACAAATGCAACACCTTAACTTTGATTATGTCCCTATGTGAAAGACAAGCAAATGAACTGAAATCAAAAGGAAAAGTGCTGTGGCCAGGGGCCATCCCCAGAGATGCACCTCCACCAGCTTAAACTTTGGATGCCACCTCTCCATACTAAGCAGCAGTCTTCATAGAAGCCCCCAGGGCAGCATCTGCAGGCTTCTTCCTCAGTAGTCAGTCTCCATCAAGGCTGGATAGTCGGGGCTGGCTGCTCTGACGAAAGCCAGCTGGGTCAGCACTGACAGGTATTGCTTCCATTGGGACTTTGTATGCAGAGGACCTCAGGATTGATTTGTAAGGCTAGAGGTTCTGATTCTCATTTGTTCCTTTGTTCTGCTCAAATGATCACTTTCATGGAATGCAAAGAGGATAACATTGCCTTTTCCAATCCACAGCACCTCAAATAGTTTATCGGAGCTGGGAAAAACTTCCTGACGTTTGAGCTCTGTGTAGCTTGAAAGCTTTGGACAAAAGTCTCAGTATTGTAAACAATTTTACTTCCTCAGAGCACTGGGCATCTTTGTGAAGGAGTGACATACAGTTTCCAGAAATAGCAACTATGTTATTGTGCATATCAAGATTGCTACCAGTGCCTTTGAAGAACTTGGGGGGCAGTTGGATTAAAAGTTGAGGACATCCATGGTCAAAATTTTCTTTCCTTTCACCCATGCAGCCATTGATGCACGTGCAAAAGTGCCCCAAGCCATCTTGCCCTAAACCCGCATTTTTCAAAACCTGCTGATGTCAAGTGAGGTACAAAGCTGCAGAAGTCCTGACTTATATCTTCTCTAAGATAGCCCTTCCTCTTGCTGAAATTGCACTCTACATCTTTGAATTTGTGAGCAAAGTCAGGATGCCATGTCCTGGCATTGACCAAGGGTGGCTATTTCTGAAACGACCTGCAAATGTTCCAGAACATGTAGCTCCTGCATACTGCTGGTCAGTTATCTGCTTGTGTACTGTGCACAGCCTCTATAATCGGAAACTGCTCTTTTGATTTCAGAGATCTGTAGAAATGAGGTCTAATGAACTAGGGCTGCTTCTAAACTATGGATTCTCAAACTGTGGGTCCGTAAACTTGGATGGGATGGGGGGTAGGAACAGTCACATCTTTATTTTCACTAACCTTATGAACTAGGGCTGCTTCTAAACTATGGATTCTCAAACTGTGGGTCCGTAAACTTGGATGGGGTGGGGGGTAGGAACAGTCACATCTTTATTTTCACTAACCTTTAACTAAAACTTAGCATGCCCATGTATCACAAATGTAGAAAACAAGCTACAGTAGTATTAGTAACATGGGTGACTTTGACACTGATAGAAATCATATATATGTTCATATTACATCATTTGTTGCAGAGAACTTTAAAAAATCATTTATAGATTTCACTACTTTGAAATTCAGTAGTTATTAGAGCTACTGCTAGATCTTGTAATTTGGTGCGTGCATAAAGCAGCAGCAAAACACATCACGCAATTGACTTTTAAAATATTTTGACAACTGTATCGACAACTTTGAAATAACTGTATTGCAATATAATTTGTTTCCCTTGAATGACTATGTGTTTTATTTTATGCATTAAAGAAACATTATTCTGAAAAGGGGAACTTAGGTAAAGAAGCCCTGTTTTAGGTTATGAAAAGAGACAAACTTGTTTCAGTCAACAGGCAACACTGCAGTAGATGCACAAAGTGATCCTGCTGAAAGTCATCTAAGAGGTCCCTCCAGTCCCAGGGCTGACAGATGCTCAGCTCTGGGAATTGTCCAACAGACCCTCATCAGGCCGATGACTTCAGTCATGAAATTTGATCTCTGAATAAAGACTCATGGGATAGTGAGAAGTGCTGCTTTAATAATTCAGTCATTTCATCAAAGACATTGGTATTAGGTGATCCCAGGAGGAGTGAAGACCTCTTTGTGTCAGATGCTTGGGCCCCAGAGAGTCAGAAACCAGGAAAGCACACTTCTGTTCATGGTTTTTTATCTTGTGTCCTTTAAGATAAGATGTTCTTATGATTAAAAAAAAATTGTAATCAGGAGGATTACTGAATATCTAGCACTGACATCCAGAACAGTTGTATTAACCACAGGGTCTGTTCAACTTCCAAGGATAAAGCTAGATTAGATTGTCCACTCAAATATTTGAATGTGTGTTTAAATGACACAAATCAGGGCACTGTGTCTTACTCATTCATTTCAAACAATTCCACTGATTGCCTGCCTTGCATTTTTTTGAGGCTAACAATAAAACTTATCTCTCTAGAGAGTGAAATGAGGTTGTGGGCTGCTGTTCGTCTGGTTCAAGGCCATTACCAACAATTCAGATCAGGTCAGGTGGCACCCAGAAACTAAGCAGATTAGCAGGTTGTACCTCTGTGTACTCTTTGTAGCTCCGATTGATCTCTGACAGACTCTCTCGGGCAGCCTTGCTGGCAGGGGAATTTGCAAAGGCTTGCTTCATTTTGCTGGCACCATCTTGGAGGCGTCTTTGGATACAGTAAGCTTCATAGAGTTCATCTACCTGCCAAAATCAAAACAGGAAAGACAGAGATATAAATATTTGTCATGATTGAAAGAAGTTACATAGGTCTCTGTTACATGCTTAAGGTACTTTGTTTCTGACCTCAACAAGGAGAATCTTGTAGGAGCGTTATTCTTTTAGACAGAGACCAGTTATTTTCATTTTAGTCATTATGACCCATTTTCTGTCTCAAAACAGATTTCACTTTGATCCTGTTTTCAAATTACACAAAGTGAAAATGACTCTCATGCATTTTTTGAGGCTATCATTGGAATTGTTGAAAATGATCCTTGTGTGATTTAGTTGATCTACTGAGCCTTCTACATATGAGCAAACACTGGAAGGGTTTATGCAGTTTCACACCAAGGCAAAAGCTTTGTGGTATAACAGGCTATTACCACTTCATTTTAAGAGGTATTGTCACAAGGTGATATTTACACATCCAAATCCAGCATTTTGTTTTTTTTAAAGAACTTGGGGCTATTTATTGAAAACAATTTTTGTAAAGTCTTGGCTCAACAACAGAGACAAAATAAAGTTATTAAGTTATTCTTAAAATTAGGGTGAAGTGACAATTGTTAAAACTTATCACAATGACCACTTAAGAACCGTGAACTCTTTTGTATGTAAACTATACCACAACTTTAAAAAATAATCAAAGCAGTATAAATGAACTTTTTTTCCTATACATCTCTACTCTTATGCTTCTAAATAATAATATATCCCTTTCAAAGGACTGCTGATTATATTTATCACATAAGCCTGATAATTGCTGAATGCTTCTAAGGCAGTAATTCTCAATCAACCCAAGGTGATTTTGACTCCCAGGGGTCTACTGGCATCTAGTGGGAGAGGTCAGAGATGCTGCTAAATATCCCATAAGGCAGATGACAGCCCCCGTGGTGAAGACTTATCCCAACATATCAATAGTGCTGAGGATGAGAAAACCTGTTCTAAAGTTATTCCTGATGATATTTATTTCTATAGTCTTGTACTATCTTCAGTTATCAACACACTAAACCAACCACAGTGAACTATTGGAATCTTCAGGCAGATAACAAAGGACACAATCACCAGGCACTGGCAGAAGCAAATAAAACCTATTGCTTCTGGGAGAAAATTACCAAATGGGACTATTTGAATTTTCATTTTAGTACAGACTTCGTTCCCTCAAAAAAGAGGCTTAAGCTGTAGATCCAGAAGACGATGGAGATGCATATACTGGACTTACAGTTTAAGATTCTACTTTTGTTCTGAAGGCAAATTTTTGGCTGCTCACTAAAAAGCATACTACTAACGTATTAGAGTACTGTAATATTCCATAATTGCTTTCTCTGTTCAGACATCCATGACACTTAGCTTAGAATGTGAACATGAAGGATAGAAAGTTATTCTCTTGGTTAAAAGATTTGTTGTTGCTATTTAGTTTAACAATTCACTCAACTTTGCTGAGATGAATTCCCAAACTGAAAAGAAGAGTCTTTAGTCTTCAGGGTCAAAGAATTTATCTCTGAAGTGTAAGACTCAAGGGGTGGCATAACTGCTGATAAAATCGTTTGGTTGGTACTGGCATGAACCATGATGTCCCTACTTTAAAACTAACCTAAGGCTCACCTGGTGAGCTTGATAAAATGCTGATGCCCAGGCCCCATTCTGAGGTGCTGATTCAGTGGGTTAGGGCTGAGCCAAGAATCTGGAATTTTAAACATTGCAGATTGTTCTGATGCAAAGGATCCCCACCTGTGTTTCTAAACAATGCAGTGTTTAGAAACACAAGTGCCAATACCTCTTCCAATGCAGACCAGGCTGTTTCACACATGTGGTCTTTTGGGAAACTGCCCCTTCAAACCTTTCCCCTGCATCACACATGTGGTCTTTTGGGAAATTGCCCCTTCAAACCTTTCCCCTGCATCACACATGTGGTCTTTTGGGAAACTGCCCCTTCAAACCTTTCCCCTGCATTGGGTACTCCAAAGTTTGCATCACACATGTGGTCTTTTGGGAAATTGCCCCTTCAAACCTTTCCCCTGCATCACACATGTAGTCTTTTGGGAAACTGCCCCTTCAAACCTTTCCCCTGCATTGGGTACTCCAAAGTTTCTGAGACTGTAATCCTCTCAACAAGGAAAGAGTGCTCACTGGACCATTAATACAGTTGTAATGACTTAATCCATTACTTTCCATTGAAAGAAAACTTTATTCTTTGTTTTCACTTAAATACCAACCTATGGGGCCAAGCCCGTGGCGCACTCGGGAGAGTGTGGCGCTGGGAGCGCAGCATCGCTCCCGCTGCGGGTTCGGATCCTATACAGGGATGACCGGTGCGCTCACAGTGCTCACTGGCTGAGCGTGGTGCGGCCGGGCTCAAAAAGGACACACACAAAAAAATACCAACCTATGACTGAGCGAGACTGAATCCCTCATTTATACAGAGGACCTGAGTGGGAACCTGGGTGGAAACTTTTGCCTTATAACACAGTCCCTCTCCTTGGTCTGGCAGAGCGCACTTTTGTATGGAAGGCTCTGTCTTCCTGGTTTGCAAACTGTTTGCCAAATAAAGTCTCTCTTCATTGTCCTCCCCACCCCCCTAAATATCAAACCATCCTAGCCAAATGGAATTAAATTTTAGGACAAAGGATACCTATGTAGCCATCTGAGCAGAAACTGGCCCATTTGTTGGCAAATATTTGTCTTTCTTATAAGTCAGCAGTGGTTTTCATCAAATAAACTGATTAATTGACTCATTCAGTTACATATGTTTTGTTAGGCATCCTGTGCATAAGGTGCTGCACATACAGTACCACTAACCTTTAAAAACCATTAGGCTTGTTGTATTAAACAACAATGGGTACAAGATGAATAAATACCCCCCTTCCTAATATTGATTTTGTTTTCTAGACATTCTTTTGAACTAAACAGAATAAATTGTGAAAGCTTTCTTGTCACACAAATACCTTCTGATGAATGTCATTGTTTTATTTACTGAGTTTAACAGAAATAGGAGTGATTTCAGATTTGCATATGTAATAAATATCTGTCAAAGTGAGAATGTACAAAGGCAGTAGCATACATGTGTATATACATATATATAAATCATCACAGAATTTTAAACTGGAAAGGATTCTTAGGACCACCTAGTTTGAATACATGTACCTTCCCAGCCCATTTCACAGAGTGGAAAGCCAAGTCCACACAGCCAACGACATAACCATTGAGTCTGTGGCAGAGCTGGGACTAGAACCCCAGGCTTCTGACTTCTAGTAGAGAGATCTACTAAAACCCCCAGTTTCTCCACTTGGAAGAGAGGCTGATAGGTATGGATGGGAACAGGAATTGCTAATGGTATGGGGTTTAGCTGTCCCCAAAGGGAAATATTCTCTAGGTTGCACCAAAAATTCCTCATAGTGTCCAGAACAGGGAGGGTGAGAGTCTCACTCCACATTAGGCTGGTTGGACCATCACTGACCTATTTACAGGGTTCACGGCTAGATGTCAGGGACCTGACAAATTGGTGCACATCTAGGGGCAATGGGGATGAAAAAGCACTTGGAAACCACGCAAAATGGGGAAGGAATCAAGAGCTTGAGAAAAATTAGGGAGGCACAAGGACAACTGTCTTTAAGTATTTGAAATACCAAGGTGTATGTAGGACCAGAGGGTAAAATTAGGCAAGTATGAAGTTTTTTGTGGGGTCAGTTTGGTTCAATCTCATCTCTACCCATGCATCACTGAGGCTGCAAGCCCTCCAACAGGCACCATGCCTACCGTGCGGAAAGCACTCAATAGATGTGGGACTGAAGCAGAGAACCAACTGTGCTAGACGATCGGGCTTTCCGTTCTTATTTCTTCTCCATCTTTACTACCTGTTGGAGGCCTTAACTGCTAATCATCTTATCTTATTTTAGATTAGAAATTCTCCATTCTCTATTCTCTGTGGATGCTATGCTCAGGTCAAAGGTGTATTGATAGGTACCTGAGAACTGAAAAACAGGCAAAGACAAGAGGGACTTCAGTTACCTTACTGATGTGAAACTCCAGGCGTCTCATGTATCTTTCAATGGTTTTAATTTGCTGGAATTAAAAGAATAAGTTTGAAAAAATGCAGCCATTTCCAGTTCAATTGATTTAGGCTTGTGAGACTATCTTTTTTATTATCTCATACTCAAAAGTACCAGAAAATGCTAAATATTTCCCCTACCCTCTAATTTTTGTTGTTATTTTAAAGATTCTCTAATATCAATTCAGAAAATATTTTTTAAAAATATTCTGAGAGATGAACTTGAGTTAGTTTTTGAAATCCTTGCATTTATTATCAAGGGAGGCTTATCAAATGGAACTCATCAGAATTCTGGCAGGACAGTATCATATTGGAGTATATTTAAATTTCTTCATAATAATATAATTTTCTGTTCTAAGATGTCTGCTTTTTCTTCAGATTTTATTGTCTCTGAAATTGGAGTGCATTTTACAATTGCTACTGGCCAAATGACAGTCAGCTGCCGGTGCATGCTCAAAGGTAATCATAGTTGTTCACATGTCATCTCTTTGAGTTATGAACATTATTGTTATTACATGTATTTAATTGCCCTTTAAAATATCTTCAAAAGGGGGGCCGGCCTGGTGGTGCACTGCTATAGTGCACCGCTTGGGAAGCGCGGCAGCGCTCCCGCCGAGGGTTCGGATCCC